AATCTCTCTCTGGGCAACATCACAATACTTCTTTACATAATATCAATTAAAACCAATCCTCTCATAAAGCATTTGGAATTTGTTTCGGCTGCTACACTCTTTCCTAGCTTAATTTGCACTTCTCACTTCCTTGCCTTTTCTCTTTTACCCCACTAATCTCAACTCTTGTGCTACTGTGCATACACCACTACCACACACCTATTCAGGGGTTTAACATATTCCAGACTTCAAGGAGAGAGTCCCACCAGCAGCTGTTTTTAGTCAATCTAAAGGCCCTAACACGCCTATGTCCCTTGGCTATCTTTACCTTCCACATCTTCCTCCGCCACATAGCATTGAAGTGACCCTGTGAAGGGTCTCTGGGGGGACAAACCGTGACAGCCGCTTTCCTTGCTTTTCTCTGAATTAGTGCTAAGTACAGGGAGAGCTTTCTGTACCCAATGACCATATAGCTATGTGGATAAAGTTGGTGAATATCTCATATTGGAGTTTAAATTTCACCTCATTTTGTTAACAATCCTTGATTCATTCTAAATTTGTATTTCAAAATACTTGTCAGGACTTTTGTTTTTGTAAACTGATTTGTGTCTGCCACCTCCATTCTTCAACTAAAGAAATGGAAAAATTTGACTACAGATGGCTTGCCTTTGTGTTGTTCTGGGTAGGTAGTATTGTTCCTAAACTGGTTTTCTTTTTCCATTCTAGAGGCATCGAACAATAGAGTCAAGATAAGATGTGTAAATTTCTGACTAGCTATTATTGTAGACAGATAATTCAATTAAAAATATTATAGGCAGTCAGACAGGGCTGGGCCCTCAAGAGAATTAGTGCAGAAGACAATTGTGGCTGGAGGCAAATGAATTGAAGGCTAGGCTTCCAGAGAAAGATAATTGGCTACACCGACATACTTCCCCCAGGAATGAACAGTGTGACTGATACTCTAAATAGGCATCAATCACACGGGTGGGGGACCAAAACCTTAAACCATCCCTTCCAGGAAAGGTCTTTGTTCATTCCATTTGTTCATTATGCTTGCTAGGTGACTTGCTTCCTCATTTGATCTCTGTTTAATCAATATTACCTAAGCAACTATATTTGTAATCTTATAGGTTGATCATATTTTTATCCCACCTTACACCCACCTTGTGATTTTTCCATTGGATCATTATTACCTAAGTGCTTATATTTGTTATCTTATTGGTTGACTACAGTTTTGTCCCCCTTTATACCCACTTCACCTCGTGGTTTTGCTCTATAAAACTCCCTTAACAAGTGGGATCCCAGGAAACCTGCTTTTGGGGCCCCCTTCTGTCTCTTAGACAGAAACTATCTTTCTCTCAATAAATTTTTCCTACTCTCTGTCTCTTTTTTTTTTGAGACAGAGTCTCACTATGTAGTTGAAAATGACTTGGAACTCACTATGTATCCTAGGCTGGTCTCAAACTCAAAGCAATCCTCCTGCCTCAGCCTCCCCAGTGCTGGGATTACAGGCATGCACCACCACGCCAGGCAATTTTTCCTACTCTTAACCTCTGTTGTTCCTAGAATTCATTCTTCAATTTTAGAGAACACAAACTCTGTGTGTTGGACATCTATCAGGTTGGGAAATATAATATTTCCCTTATATTATTTGGAGGTCCATATCTCATAACACCCTGTATCATTTGGAGGTCCCACCAAGATAATTGGGTGGAGGTAAGAGTTTACATTTGTTTTATAGATTCTACATTGTGACTTGCTTAGGTTATCAAAATGGTCTTGAATTGTATGCCTTATGTCTTAAATTTTGTGTCAATTGCACATGCTTTAAATTTTTATGTTTTGTTAATTTTTTGGCCCTCATTTCTTATGATACATTGTCTTTCGTTAAAATGATGGTAAATCTAAGTTGAAAACTTAGGAAGATGTGTCTCATCAAAGACAGTAACATTTTACATTTTATTCTTGTTTGATAAATGTTGCATTTGGACTTAGTTGCTGAATTTATTGTTGTTCTAGACTTGACCTGTTTCACTTGTTAGACAACAGTGCTAGGAAAAAGTAGTGGTAGAGGGCCCCATAGAGGACTTTAATATAAAATTCTGTAAAGTGGGTTTTAAATGAAATCTATTTTATATTTAAGAAACATATATGCCTGTTAATAAAACATGGGATAGCAGCAGCTATTCTTAAGACTTGGGCATAGGTTTCACTGAGACATTCTGGCTCAGTCTTTCACAAGAGAAAATGTTGCACCTGTTCTGCCTCAGTTTCCTTTCTGGTCTGATCTTTCACTGGTGAGGACAGAATCTTAGCTCTATGAGATTCCTCATTCTTACCTTTCCAGGCTGAGACTGAAGACTCATGAGAAAATTGTCTCAATACCTCACTTGAACATGAAAAAACTTTTGCTGATCTCCTTTCTGATATTTCCTTGCCATTTCATAATTTTTCCTTTTTAAAGGCATGTAAGATTCTAGAAAAAAAAATCCCTTAATTGTCCCAACCTTTGCCTTTATTCAACAACAAAAAACTTTTAAATTGATTGCTTAGAAAATGAGCATTACTAATGCCAAACATAGGGGAAATAATTTCTAACATCCCACCCCCTCTTTGGTCTGGTTTTTATCATTTATGTGTGTAGGGGAGGGAAAATACTTTTGCTAATAAGTTGTAGACTTTGAAACTTTTACTGTAAACTTATAAAATGCTATGTTATAATTTTTGGGTTTTAGACAGCTTAAGCTTTCTCTCTGCTAGTAAGCCAGGAACTTCCCCTAAACTTTTCTCCAACTCACTGGGAGATAACTTTAGAACCACCTTTTAGTCAGACCACACCTCCTTCCAGGAAGTCAGGCTGAGGCAGCTTGAAACAACTCTTTGCCTTTCATGGAGAAGAGTAATCAGCTAGTGACTTATACTTGTGCTTTATATATGCTAAGAGTAAAAAAGAGACTTTTAGCTTTTCTCTTCTTTCATGTACATATAGAAAACTGATAAATGTACTTTATTAAAATGTGAATTGTGGTTGCTAGGTGATGAGTATACGATTAAACTGTGAGCTTCAGAAACAAATGTTTTAGGTTAGACTTTGATTTGCCACTAAGGAAGGTTGCCTAGGTGATTAGGTAGATAACAGGAATGTCTTAGAGGCATCTCCTCCCTAGAGCCCAGGCCCAATGGCCTCCAACCATTTTACCTAACTCTATCTACCTTTAGAGGTGATCTTTTTTTACAGGCTGAGAAGCACTCCAACTATTTCCAAGTTGCTCTTTATATTTTCTCATTCTCTTTAAAAGAATTTTAAAAATGTTTTAAATCTCTTGATTATTGCTTTTGCCAGCAATGCTTCCTTTTTAAAACATGGTTGTTATGGCTAAAATCTATTGTAACCACTACTTCTAGAAACACCTGCTAGAATAAACACATGAATTTCCAGGGAAGATAGGGTTGCATGCCAGTAAAGGATGATATCTAGTCCAGAGCCACCCTATCTTCTGGTTGCTCTCCAGATGGTAGCCATCAGGTCTGGAGCTGAGTTACCTTGGGGATGCCTTGTGGATATAGAAATCAAGTATAAATTAAAAGGAATGCCAATTTTTTTCTCTTGTTTTATATGGGTTACTCAATGTCAAAACCACTTACTCCTTTAAAATAAATTTTTATGCACTAAATAGTGTTTGAACCTGTGTATTGAGAAAGTACAGTTTAATGTTTTTTGCACTTGAGCATGGCCTGCTTATCCCTAGAGCAAGAATGAGATGCAGAGGAAAGTTTTGATTATACTATTTCACAACTACAGTCATACTGTAAGAAAGAGGGAAAATAGTCAAAATTGCCTTACATTCAGACTTTCTTTGTATTAAGAAATAATCCTTATTTGTGTTCAAAATATAAATGTTAGCCACAAGAAAACCAGACACCTCTGGCCCTTAAGCATGCACTGTCACTGAGCCTGAAGCTACTCTTCCTCGAGCTTTGGAATGGAAGGACAAAGTTTCCAAGGCAACTTTAACCAAAGCCTTACCAACAATTGCTAAGTCTGAGGCTCCTCGTACTTGCGCTTTGCGTTCTGAGGTTGGGGCTTCTAGGTCAGCCATAACAAAAGCCTCTACAGGGCTGTATCCATCCTTACCTGGTTTTGTTCAAACTCCTCAAGGACAATATCACTTACAGAAAGTAAGTGGAATGTTTAGAACTACCCACATTCATGTGTCCTTTTTGGAATGTTTAGAACTACCCACATTCATGTGTCCTTTTTGGCATGTTAAAAATTACCCACATTCATGTGTCCTTTTCCCTTGGTGACCTAAAACAGATCAAACAAGATCTAAAAAGGTTTTCAGATGGCCCTGATAAGTACATTGAAGACTTACTCAGACTTAGAAGACTTACTCAGACCTATGAACTAGACTGGAAAGATGTAATATTACTTTTTTTTCTTTTTTTGGTACTGGGGATTGAACTCAGGATCTTGCATTTACCATGCAGCTACAGCACTGCTGAACTACATCCCTAGCCCAATGTCACTCTTAAATCAAACATTCACTTCTAATGAGAGACAAGCAGCAGTACAAGCTTTGACTATATTTAGAGATGAATGCCATATTGTTAATTTTAGAAGGCTGGGAGATAGCCAAGGGAACAACCAGTGCCTATTAGAGATGAAACAGTCCATACCCAAGACCCCTACTGGCCTAACAGCCAGATGAGAGATTAGAATATGAGGCATCTTCAGACATGTATGCTTAAAGGTCTGAAAAAGACAAGAACTAAGCACTTCTATCATTTTAAATTGTCTGCTATTTAGCAGGAGAAAAATGAGAACCCCTCTACCTTCTTAGAGTTTTTAAAGGGGTCATTGGTAAAATTTATATTCCTAGCTCCTGATTTGATAGAAGGATACTCAGCCTCAGACATTAAAAAGGCAAAAGTTGCAAAAGATGGCTTTTGCTCCAGATAGCTCACTGGATTCATTGGTTAGAATTGCCTCCTCAGAATTTTATAATTGACACCAGGAAGAGGCCAAGGAAAACAAACTAAAGACACCAACAACAAGTGGCTGCTTTAATCATGACCTTAAAATAAATAAACTTTAAGCCTGATTCTTGAGTCTCCAGAAAGAGCTCAATGACTACTAAACTCTCCTGCTACCACTACAAAAAGCCAGGCCATCTTAAGACAGACTGCATCAAGAGGCCCATGGACGATGTCCTGATTGCAGAGATGACCACTAAAAGTCAGACTTCCCTCTGAGGTAGAGGCTGGAGATCTCGGACGTGTCTCTCCAACTGGCCTAACAAGACTAAAGGGCCCTGGGGCACTCTCTGCCTTCTCCCCCTGGCTGGACTCTCATCTCCAGGGAGGATCCCTGTGTAATCATGACTATAGAAGGGAAAGAAACCAGCCTGTTGCTTGACACTGGTACCTGTCTCTCTGTCCTTCTTTTCAACCCTGGCCTTCCTTCCA